AATATTGCATTTGAAATTTTATTCACTCAACAGATGTCCCTTGGATTAGGAAATATCTGGAGACAATGAGACACATTCACAAACATGAACATCTACAAGAGATCTGGATGCCAGCGCTGGGATCATCATAAATTGTGCATGACTTAACACACACATTTTTTTAAAGTTGGAGTAATCTGTGAATAATTGGAAGCTCTCTATTAAAAATGTTTACTTTTTAGAGAGTTTACATTTCTTTTTTCAATGTGTAGATCTTTAAAAGACTGAAGACATATTAAAGAAGTTTTACTTCGGAAAAGAAAAATAAACCTTTCTTTTTTATGTCATGCACATCCACTTTCCATATAGAGTGGTAAGGAATTGGTTACCAGTATGGTCTACTATTACACTTGCTGCTTTCATCAGAAACAATTCTGTGGGAAAATGTGCCTAATGGTAGAAAGCCTCTGCAATATAAACAGAAACCGGGGGTGGGGAGGGGAGAAGAGTGAGAAAGCACTATTGTACAAAGATCCAGTGTGCAGTGGGATTGTGAGCATATAAAACTAAACACAGGTGTATGCATGGGAGATGCTAATGGCAAAAAAGTGCACCATGTCCTGTTCCAGGCTGTGAATTTGATACAGGTAAATAAGTTTATACTTGGTTTTGTACCATCAAATTCCAGATATGCACATAGGCAAATGTCTGAGTTTCCCACAGTATGACAGAATTATTAATGTAATTTATTACTGCTATTTGATAACAGTTAGAAGAGCTTTTTTTAAGCCTTTGCAGAAATGCCTTCTCTATTTATTCCTAATGAAATAACTAACACAAAGTCATAGATAACAGGATACATATTGTTATGCCCAGTCCATTGTGAGCACAGTAAAAAGGAAAGACTTCTAGAGTGTGAATTCTGTTGTGGAAAACAACATGTATTTCGTTCATAATCACAGTGCACAGTGTTTCTGGTGTTTGCTCATGGACATCAAGGTCTGAGCCATTAAAACTTGCACAACTTCAAACTCATTTTTGAGTTATCTTGATTGAAGTAATTGAAAAGTGTTTAAGTCATTGACAAATATATTCAAGGGAATTTATTTGGGCCTTCTAAACATATAAAACAATCTGAATAATATATAGAGCTTTCTAGATACATTTTAACATGAGTACTTTTTAAATAATGGTCAATTGATGGCAGTTTTCTGTAGAAGAGAATGATACTCAAGGAAATAATCCTTTGCCTATGCCAAAATGGTTCCCTTATGTCAATTAATGTTAGCTTAACAGAGTAACATTATGAGACAGGCAACTCCCTGAAAGCATCCTTAAATTGCCTTAATAACCAGTTTCATATGATTAGAAGTCTGTTCTATATGCAAAAGTTTTTTTTTTTAAATTTACTTTTGCTTTTAAACAATATTAGTAATTTGATTGCAAGAACACATATACAAATATGTATTGAACAATTATAATTAAAGCCAAAGTAACAATATTTTTACCTTCAGATCTTTTTATTGCCTTATTTGTGGCTTTGATTTCAATGCTTGATCAGTTTTTCTATTGAGTTCAACTTGAATTATTCCATATTTATAAAGACTCTAATGTTCTCTAGAAAATTATATTCTTGGAGTTTAACTATCTAGCATTTTGGAAGGAATTAAATCAGGAGACTAATTCATTTGAAAAACAGAGACATAATGTTATGGTATTTTTCTTGATTTTGTTTACTTAACCAATCAAAACCCTGCAAAAATGTGATTTCTTCTACGATTTCTTTAATAATTGTGTTAACAAACATTAACAGCACTGCCACAGCTATAAGACTGATGAGATTATTCCCTCTTTTGGGGAACCCACTTATTTTGTCTTTTGGGTATTATTTCTATAAGCACTTTAAAGATAACTAGCTTCTTTTGTGCTTTTTCCTCTTTTTTTTATTTTTTGAGCAGCAAATGTTTTATCCTCACTAGAGAAATTATCAATGAAAGGAAAAAGAGAAAAGAAAATTCTGCATCACAATTGGCTGTCACTGATCTATAATGTCCCAATGGATTTGAAAAGAGTTCGTTAAGGAAACTGAAGAAAGAGACTTGATTTCTCTGTGTCCATCCAAGCTTTGAATATAAATCCTCAGGCACAAGAATGACCACTTTCTGCCAGTGTTGTTTTCTCTATCTTCATATGAAAATCTGTATAGACTCATCCATTTAAAAACAGCTTTTCTAGCACTCATGTCCTTGACCTTCCTTCTATCTCAAAACCAGTAGCAGCAAGAAGGAAATTAATAAAACAATAAAAAACAAAAGAAAAGGACTTTTTGACACATAGAGAAATGCAAGGCTTCTCAGTAGTCCCAGAGTACCTTAATTTTAATTACCCCAGAGGACCTTAATTTTAATTACTTTTACTCATGCTTGATTAATACAGAAGAGGTTCATATATAAGGATGGGCAACAATAGGAAAAAAATGGGTCTAACTCCCATATATAAATACAGGCTAATGTGAAACAGACTTTCTAGTAAAACTGGTTGACATTCTGGAAAAAAAAAGCAAGCTACAATGAATAAAAAAGAATTGGAAAGATACAGAAAATGCTAACATCTTAGAACATACTTAGTATATTAAAATACAAAATTTACAAGCAGCATTTTGAGGAATTTAATTATTGATTTCACTGAAATTAATATTTGTTGCAGATCTGATTCCACTGTGATTTCATACTGTGAAATCAAAGGGATTATTTGAGAGAAAAGGTACCATGCTAGATTAACAATGATGACATAATCCAGTTTTTGAAAAGACATCTGCTTTTCTTGTAAATGTAATATTGTTTAGCACAACTCAGCCTTTCAGGAGCAATTTTAACTCTTATATGTAAAAAAGGGATCTTAACGGATCACAGAAACCAAGATCAAGATTATATACCATTTTGATTTAAATCCATTCACTTTGAAGTCAAAGGTAAAACTATTATTTTTTTTAATAAGAGCAGAGTAAACACAATGGAAAGAAAAACTTAAAATTTAATTAAAAAAATCTCCCTAAATTCTGTTTAGAAGAAACTCCAGAACATATTGATGTAGGTGCATAATAGAATCTGAAAGCCAAATTTGGCTCTTATTGTGGCTAGGTTTTACCTAATCTAAATAAAACAAATAAATAATTTTATTCTTTCAGTATAAGAGAAGTGGAGTAGTCTGAAAAATTTCACATGAGAATAACGTTTTATTCTGGATAAATAAAGGAAATTGAGAATAAAAAATAAAATTGAAGATAAATTAAGAGTAAAAATGATCAAGGCACAGAAAACAAATCTGTCATGGATTGCAATTAATAGAAGTGATCCTTTTTTGAAGGTCAGTATATAGGCAGAGTAATCATATTTGTATTGTGTATGAATATAATGTAATCAAAAGGAAGTTCTGGGAATAGAATTAAAATTCAATTTCTAAGTTCATTAGGTATCTGTAGGAGAACTGAATGTTAATGTCTATGTTTAATTGCAATTGTAATTCTAGAATCTTCTTGGTTTGGACTCAGAAGCTTAAGTTTGTGTGAAGCAAAATTTGTAGAGTGGTAACATCTTTTATTCAACAAGTTATAGTTAGGAAAAAATGGACATGCTTGACTGTGGAAGAAAGACTAATTGCAATTCAAAAGCCAACTGACTGTGGAAAACTAATATTAAAGATTTTGCAACTGATTTCTAATTAGGATAGAGAAGCATATAAAAAGATTTAAACCAGTATACTTAGGCTTCAGAACTGAAGTTCAGTTTGTGTCAGGAAACAAAGATCTCCATGCATGCTGATGCTGTTAGAAGGAAAGACACATCTTCAAATCAAGTGTCCCAAGTAGGATGCTGTATGTATTTTTTTAATCTCAAATGGTTTTGAAGTTTTCCACTGGTAAAACTCTTTTAACTGCAACCAGAATTCCTCCCAAAATTGCTAGTGAGAGAGGGCTGTGAGGTTTCTGCTTTTGGACCATGAAATGTTTCCTAAAGGATCAGCAAGGCTTTAAAGAAGAGGTATACTTGGTAGTCCTGGTCCCACGGCCTGTGCCCCCCTGAATAGCACAGTTTCATATTCCATTAGTGGCCTTAGGATTCAAACTGATTCAGCTAAGAAGATAGAAAGCATCAACGTCAAATCTACTGCCAAGGCAAAAGCTCAAAGCATCGTTACTGCCACAGATTATCAACCCTAAAGGGAAGCACAGATGACACTAGTATTTTACCATATGAACTTTATTAGATCAAATAGTCTAATTTTCCTTATTCCACTTGCATTTATTCTGAATTCCCTACTTGCTGTTATTCTGTCATAAGTGGAAAGTCATAAATTGGCAGCTCTAATCAGGCAAAGTCGTGTACGTACGAGCATGAGAAAGAAATAAAATGTAGCATTTTTATCCCTCTTGAAATGTTAGAAGAGGTTCTATAGTCACGATTTATCTGTTACATGATGCAGTGAAGGAACAGTATCAATTTTCCAGCTTTTCATGAGCTTCCAACATGCAGAAGATGCATTAAACAATGAGATCAGAGCCCACATGCTTAAATTGAATATAAGGTTAAGAAAGAATTAGGAAAGTGTTCTTCTGACTCCCACATTTGCGACAAAGCCCCAGTGTAGCCAAAGGATTGATTTGTGTATAATTCGATTAAATACACAAACTTCCCCTTCAGTAGACTCACTGATAAGATACGTTAACACTGGCAAGGAGGTACAATCTGAAGCTACAAAAAAAAGTCATCTTGGAGGTTTGCTTTTAGTTTTGTTTTTCTTCCTACTGTAAAGCAACAGCTCAGTCATTGTGAATGAAACTTGAATATCCAAACTTTTCTACCTCTTCCCTTCAGTAAGAACTAAACTGCCTGTTTAAATAAGAAGGCCATAACCCTTCTGAAGACAAGACCGGAACAGAAAAATTTTATATTACTACCTACTTTTCTCTTTTAAAAAACACAGTTTAAAAGTGATTAAATGTACTTTGATGTTTCTGCAGTTAAAACTTTTGTGGCCATGAAAACTGTTCTCGTGTTCCCTCCTGCTCCTTGAGTAGAGCTGTCCCTCGATTATCCAGTTCTGCAGGACACATTAGTGAGAACAGTACCTGAACTTACTTCTCCATGTTCACATATTTATGCCTACAACAGCCTGATTTTTTTTTCTTGTTCACTGACTGTGAACAGTTTTTATGCTTTTATAGGGCATAAATACTCAATCTTTCTCACTTCCAAACTTCTTCAAGTTTGTGATCAACAGAGTATTCACTGTGTAAATCTTTGTTCTCATGACGTTATCATTCCTGTTGTCTGATAGAAAAATAATCATTTCACAGTTAGTAAAATCCTAAGCAGTGCTGAAAAAGTCATGGTTGTTTGATGACTACAACACAGGCACCAGCTCTTCCAATATTTAGGGAAGCCATCTGCAGAAAAAAAGATACAAATTAACTGAACAGGAACAAGCCATGCAAGAGATTGCCGAAGTGCTGTGTCAACATTATTCTAAAATGGTCAAAATTAATGGGAGTATAAACCACTAAAAATAAATACAACCCACAATATCCTAGTATTGTAGTTTTAAAGTTACTTACTCACATCTGACATCTTTCACTTGAAAGTGTGAGAACAGGAAAAAGAAGGAGTGATTTTAGAGCTGTCATCAGTTTTGTGAACTGTTGATATGCAAGGGATTTCTATAATCTGTAGACTGTAGCTAATGCTTCCACTTTAGTCCCTGAGGCAAGGTCAATGTTACTAATACCAAAATTTTATGGTTCCAGTATTCCTAAACAGATTCAAGTGTCCTTTAGAATAAGTTTGGCAGCTTTAGACACTATTCAGGACAACACGAGGTTTAATAACTTTAGGAGACCGGATCTTGCTGAAACTAACACAGTACAGTCAGCTTATATGGTATGTAATAATAATAGTAATGATAGTACACTTATTTTAGGATAAGAATATGCTTTTGAAGTATGTACTTTTCTCACTAACTTTAAGGGGTACTTAGGGTGACTAATTCAGAAGTAAATATCTACACTGGTGGAACAAATTACTTTTTCAGAAAGTCTTAAAACAGAATTAATATCAGAAAATGTTGAAATAATCCTTTGGGTTTTTTTAAGGCTTTGCTGTGAACCCAAATCTTTCCAAGCACTACTGTGACATAATAAAATACATCCCTTCTACAAGCAAATCACCAGTCCCCAGCTTCTTGCATTATACCACTATTTCTATTATACCTATTAATTTTTATATGGTCCAATATTAGGAACTTACATACAGTTCAAAATTTCAAAATATCCATCAAACAGAAGATAATGGTATTGAAGAATGAAATGAAAACTTGACTCTCTACATAAAATAAGCAAATTTTCATATGAAGGATCTTCAGGACATGCTGGTTGCCAATTAAAATTCCAGATCCATTTTGATACTTTTTATGACATTTCTTCTGCATGAAGAAAGATGAAAAAAATTAATTTGCTATAGAAATTGAACAGAACAAGAATTTTGTCTGAAAGGTAACAAGATAATATTTCTAATGACTGCTTATTCTGTCTTTTTCCAGTTTCTTAGGATCTAATTCTCTTTTTTCTGTCTTCAGAGGAAACTCCTTACATAATAGCTGATAAAATACTAGGATTATTTTTATAGTTATGGCAACCTCAGATACCAGATTTTTTTTTTCAGAAAAGTAATGTTTTTATGTACAACTATCAAAACATGTTACAGATGAAAAAAATAAAGACTTTATGATTACCTGTGTCCATTCATTATTTTGAGGGTCATATGCTTCCATAGTGTTCAGGTATGTTTGACCATCATAGCCTCCTACTGCATATAATTTGTCACCAAGGAGACAGACACCAACAGCATCTCGAGGCATACTCAGTGGAGCCACCATTGTCCATGTATCAGTTTTTGGATCATACCTGAGGAAAGAGAAAGGAAACTGAATGTCCAGGGAGAAGATAAATGTCAATTCATGCTGATCTTCCTTGAAATATAGTCCTCTTTTTTTTTTTTTTGGGGGGGGGAGGGAAAAGCCTTAGCATCTTATCCAAAATATTCTAACAGCAAAAAGAAACATACAGATTTATTGTGTTCCTAATTCAAACCTCTAAATGTTGATTAGGAAAATTTGCTCAGCTAACCTTTTGGAATAAACTAAGGTATTTGTGGGGTAAGGGGTCATAAAAAGAGATTTGAGAAGGATATAAGAGCAATATCTGGATGTATGTCTATTTATATATATATATTTTAAATAGGATATTTCTTGTAGCATATTAAAAATATTCTTTCTAAAAAAATATTACATTATATTTTAATTCTAAAATTATATTGTACAATGTTCACAGCCAGAAAACCTCCCTAAGAATTCAGGAGATATGTTTAACTGCATTAGAGTTAGATTCTCCTCCTGATAGTTGCTCAAGTGAAGAGAGTAGTACCTGTTTTAGGTCATTAATCACCATAGAATTTTTAAAACTGAGGGCAAAATTCCTTTTGTATAATTATAGTAATTTAAAAATTAAACATTTAGCCTAAGCCATTAATTTAGGTATTCATTAACAATATAAAAATTAGATAATTTCAGAAGACATTCCGCTGTATTTGTTTTAGACATCTGTAAAATAGAAATGAATCACCTTTTGATAGTCTCTCTCAGTTTGTTTCTAAGGATGTCTGGAGTATAGGTTAAACTAGATACCTCATTTTTAGATGACAAATATTGCTAAAATAGAATACTGTATCACAGTATGATAGAATTAATGTCATCTGTCCTTAAGCATCTCCACTATGTAGTAGAATCACTTGATAATCAGTGGAAAAAAATAAACAGTTTAAGAATACAAATCCTCTGACTGACTTTAGTCATTTGCTTAAGTGTAAGGTAGATCAAACTTTGGGCATGATAATTTCACTAAAATAATTATAAAGGAACTCCATAATGGCTAAAAATCTTATTTATTTACAAGTCCTCTAACTACTATATTGTTATATAAAATTAGGCATCAAACCACTTTCTCCCACACCTTTAAGAGACAGTATTAGCTGTAAGTTCATTTTTCGGGGGGAGTCAAGTTCTTTCAACATATTTTCTTGTAGTCTAAACTTTATTAACTAGAAGCTGAAAAACCTACAGAAAGTTGTATATACATACGCTTTACAAAAAGGAAAATTCTAGGCTTTTACTACAAAAGCTGACTATAAGAGCCCCTGTAACTATTTCAGTCATTCATATTTTCAGTAAGCAACTGGTAGGAATACTGTTATAAGTCCCATATTATATTTGAACAATAGAAAATTTTTAAACTTTTTAATATAGATATTGTAACAATGATGTTACAGTGCTTTGCTTGTAACATGACCTTCAAATCAGACAATAACAGAATTGTCTTTAGCCTTGATTAAATTGTTCTTGACAGCTAAATACATTTTAGGAAAAAATTCTACTCATCTACTGGCTGCTAACCCTTCTGGCTTTATTTGGACTTCTCAGAAAATAAAATGGTAAAATGTTGTATTTAACTTTTTATGTCTAAAATGCCATTAAATGGATTGTGTTGTCGATTTTCCTTTCTTTTTAAAATTTTATTTATCCACATTCTTTCATTTTGCTATCTTTCCTTAAGAAATTTTGAGTTAAATACCTAGATTTGTGATAAATGTCTTTTAAAACTTGAGAGGAAAATACTTTAAAAGAGTGACTGAATATGTGGAAGGGAAATGCACATGTAACGACAAAACAAAAAAAAAATTTGAGTGAATTTTTTCAAAGACTGTGTGACTTTTTCAACAACAACATCGTATGCGTCTAGCTGAAAGAGTTTCACAACCAGTGAAATGCACCAGCATGCACTGTATCTTCACCTGCCTAAAGGCATTAAATTTTAATAGACTCTTTGATACACTACTTTTGAATTACAAGGGCCAAGGTGAGGAGCTGCAAAAGAAGGAAAACTAAATACAATTGACATCTTTGGACTTCCTTTTTTTTTCCAATAAACAGGTAAACAAGGGCTAAACAAAATTCTTATAACTCAATTCTGTCAACAAAATAAAACTGCACAAGAACTTGTTTTTTGTAATTGCCAGGAAAATGTCTGAGATTTCTTATATCCTTTCTTCTGCTAAAAACAAGTGTACATTTCATCTTTATAATAACTAGGTATGCCCTAGGGTGAGAAAGGTTATGATAAAAGTTCCTGAATGCGGAAAGAAATCAATTTGAAATCAAGGTGAGACGAAGGGGAAAAACTATAGATCACTTGCTTATGAATTTGGTAGCTGTCAAGTTTGGAGTAACATTTTGAAAAGAAACCTACTTTATAAAATCTGCCAAAATACCTCCAAACTTTTATAATTCTTAAATAGGAACTAGTTATTTTATCTTTAAAAAGGAATACAACATTGTAGTTTCCCAGCTTGTGAAGAGCAGCCAAACATAACTATTATTTTGTTTTAGAATGCTTGAATCCATAGGAAATCCTTTACAATTGCATCAACCTTAGAAGAGTTCAAACTGGGAGTCCTAATTACTATTGAACAGGATTTTAACAGTAGCGTTTAAAAAACACATATCTGCTCTCACTAGATTTACATAATCTCAAAAATAAATTTTAAAACATTATGTATGGTTTAACAGTCTTCTGGGAGAAAATTGGTATTTGAATAAAGCACATCCTATCGGGCTGTATCAGAATGACAAAATGACTGAAGCAGAGACTCATTCCTGAAAAGGATTGATACCCTAGATATTTACAGAAAGTAAAACATTAAGAAAGATATAAAATAACTTGCTATAATAAACTCATTATTACTTACTAGTCTTTGGTTTCCTAAGTTATTGAGATGTTTTTATTTTTTGAAGATGATGTGTTATTTTTGAATGTAAAAATAGACACATTAAATCACATCCCAGCCACCCTATAAACTTATCAATCACAGGGAGGGCCATGAGAGTTTTTTCATGTTTTAGTGGAGTCTACTGGTTAATTTATATCCACCCTACGCAAGGTAATAGCCTTACAATTTCTGATTTGTTAGTCCCAACTTTTAGTCTGGAAGCTAACAGCCCATGAAGTACATTATCCACATTTTTTGCTATCAGTGCAAAAATACCTACACAAGGAACACTGTATAATGTCATTCAGATACCAGTACATAAAATAGGTTAAGGATATGTGGTTTAGTTCATTGTTATAATCCCCCCTGAGAAAGACAAATGTGATGGAATGTGGTTTGTCTTCAACATCAGAAGGGTTTTTCTTCTCAGAGACTGAAAAATGAAAGAAAAGCTCCCTTACAAGTACCAATAAGCAGAAGTAATTGGAAAGATTTCATACTTATTAATATTATCACTAGTAGTCTTAACATAAATTTACTTCATTGAAAATTCTGGTTATTGTTCCTTATAAATAGAAGCCCACGAGGTTAGGCCCTGTAAGTACAGGCATCATGGGATTTCTCTGATGAACTTTCTGACTGTTGGAGACAAGAAGTAAAGTATTTGGCAGTCTGTGATCTTTGCTTACATACAGTAGAGATGGGAATGAGCCTAAGACTGAGCAAAATCATATGGATAACATAAGAAGTAAGTTTTATCTTATAATTTTTGGATTACATATTGGGTAACTGGTAAATGCCAAGCCAGATTCAGCAGAAGCAAGAATTGACATTTAATTAAAGTTTAATCCCTTCAGAAAATAAATAAATAGATAAATCTCTCCCAGCGTCTATCTTTACTTGCATGTTAAGATAAACCAACTACTCAACCATATCTAATTTAACCTTTGCAGCCTGTACATATTTGGACAGTGTATTTTTCCTTATTCTATTTTAAAGCATACAGAAACAGAAAAAAGTCAAACCTTCACGAAACATTTGAAGAGTACCTTCAAATCAAATGGTATAATCACTCCACCTGTGCCCTGCTGCCCTACTAGATATTCTTGAATTTGCAGAATATCCACTTGCAAAATTCAGGGTACTGTAAATACAGTGTGTAAGGCTTATATTAACATGTCAGGAAGTGGCAGTGTTGCTAAAGGAAGCTACTGTCATGTACTGTAAATATCCATCACTTAAGCAGTTCTATATTTCTTCTTTGCTCAGCATGTTTTTAGAGTTACAAAATACTTCTAGATACAACTTGGCATTATAAAATTACTTCAAGTCTGAATTTTTATCTCTGCAAAGTTTAGTTTATGACTCTACAGTGTGTAATATTGTGCCTTAAAAAAAAGATTTCTTAAATGAGGTGTGAAAAGAGTGGAGTTTTGTGTCCATGATAATATATTAGTACTGTGAAAAAAGGGGAAAGAAAATAACCTTCAAAGAAATTGTCTTCTACAAACCTCTATGGAATTTTTCAAGTAAGTAGTAAGTTGGCATTTCTTGACGTAAACACATCCATTAATTTTACCATCATTTAGCTAAGAAAATGATGCTACTGGGCATTACTTAGTATTCAAAAAATGCATGTATAATTGGATACCTTTCTACATAGTCCAGCAGTCGGGAACAATGGTTAGAAGCAGGAGCATCATGGCCTCCAACTGCATAAAGAAAGCCATCACATGTAGCCACTCCTACACCTCCTCTTCTCTTACACATAGGAGCACACATATTCCATTTATTTGTGTGAGGATCATAATATTCCATTGAACTCAAACACGAACTTCCATCCCGACCTCCAACTGAATATAACCTAAGAAAGTCCACGCAAATAAAAATGTTAATAAAACGAGAGCTCAGAACTGTAGAAATAAAATCAAGGATCATCTGGGTTTCCTATCTGACATCAGCAAACAGGAAAAAGAAAAAAATATAATCTCTCAAAATCATATGAATTTAATATGGTCAGCAAACATAGATGATTTTAATATTTTTACCAAATTCACATATTACTTAGTGCTTTGCCCGCCTGAATAGAAAGGAAGGTATTTTCTTTCCAGTAATGGATATTTTCATTCTTCTATTACAGTATATACTGCCAAGAGTGCCGTAAGTGACATACAGATTTGTCTCTATAGATTTATAAATCATGTAAGCGGCGTTGCTGCCTAACTGCTCATCATCTGTGAGGTGGAAGTGAACGTGCTAACTTATAATTGGTAATCCAGACAAACAAGAAATATGCAATCCATTTATTATAGTTTCTCTGTGTTTTTATCATGCATCAAAGTAGTGGGAATTAACCTGTCCTGTATTTTAATATTTTATCTTGTATAATTCTCAATGCGCTTTTCTGCTTGGCTTTCGGCTTAGGATGTGTCTCCTCACGCTGGAGGCTGCGGAGGCTGCTGCCAGCAGCGTGGTTGTGGGGATGAAGGTGAATATGGATGGGGAGATGGGGGTGGGGGGGGGGGGGGGGGGGGGGAAGAAAAAAAAAAAGAAGTACTGCATAAGCTCTGCATGCTAAAGTACAAAGCATACGGAAAACTGTAGTCAGTCTTTGATCTAGTATTCAGCCTATTCCACATATAAAACTGCCAATGGGAGGCTCATGTCCAGACAGAATTTTACACTTACAATATAGTAGAGATCAAATATGCAGTGCATTGCAGAAAAGAATATAGCATTATGTTTTAAACACGGATTTTTAAAAAGTACTACCTCGGTTTCAAGATTCTTGGTTATACTGAAGAAAGGTATTGCCCACACTAACATTAACATGTCTACTTAGCAAGTAAGAAAATGATACCCCCAGGCACTGTACGTTGATTTTCTTCATCAGAATGTATTGAGGACTGAGTTCTGTAGGGAAGTCATGGAAAACTTCTGAAAATACTTTAAAGTTGAAATGCAAAAATGTGGTTTAACAAAAAATATGTTGTGTTTGTAACTATCTGCAGGCAAGAAACTTGTTTCCTTCCTCCCTTTATAATGGTTCCCAGGAGGAAACAGTTCTGATTGTTCTTTTCCACTATTACCATGCTGCATTCGTTTCTTATATGAATCCTTTTGCAGTCTGTTGCCTTTTCTACAGTGCCTGGAGATTAACTAATAGAAACACAGGCTATTTTAAAGTCCAACCACTGAGCAACTTAGGATGCAAAAGCTGTCTGTGTGAAGCAATTACTCATTTGGAAGCTTTTACTGTCCTAAGCGCTCCATGAATTCAGAGCTACTTAAATGTGCTTTTACCACTACGTTTCATTGGCATGGATGCTGATGAATAAGGAAGTACCATACTACCACTAAATATGTCACTGAAGCCATAGAACATTTAGGTACTGCCTGACAGACATACTTGTGCTCTGACAAAAGTAGCCAGGAGAATCCATACTCCTCTATGGAAGATGTTAAAGCAAATACACTTTTTTGCAACTATTTCTGTAGGTCCAGACCTAAGACATTTACCTTTCTATATGATTATCAGATATCTACAGGTGGGATCCAATTCAAGATTAAGACATGTAAGTGTTAATCTGTGGGTGTTTACAGCGTCTAAATTGCTGTTATGTTCAGGGTAGTCAGCCGAACCTAAAGAACAATTTGATTCACCAGCCACAACCATACTTTTTTTCTTCAGCAGAGAGTAAGAACTGCAGAACAGCACTAAAAAAAATTTAAACATGTGATCCAAATACATTTACATTAATATAAACGTAAATATAAGCATTTACATGTAGGTGTCTGCAAGGATGTTATCCTTATTTTCAAAGATGGGACTTGGTTCAGCTTCCCACAGACAGTGATCAAACATTATTTGTGACATCTAGGGTACGGTGACATTCCCTACAGACTGGCAGATATGTCAAAGATTACACAGGACAAAAATGCATGATTGCTGGAGGTCAAGTAAGATATCCTGAGGCAATTCAAATGACAGTAGGTAATTACATGTAGATAAGTGAATTGATCCCTAAAAATGAAGACCATAGTGATTGGAACCACCCAGTTTTTGTTTAAATGCTCTATGCTATTCAGAACAAACCAAAATTAATCTCCAAAATCAGATTTTGGAACTACCATTTTAGGGTTTGATTGTGTATATTCCTCAGCAAGGAATAGTTCATAAGACTAACAATAAAATTTTATTTCACAAAGGTCTGGTTCAGACAAATAAAAGTTGGAAATTGAGTAATTGTTTTAAAGCTCTGCTGTGGCTGAGCCTGAACACCTCAGTCAGGAATTGCTTCCACTCTTCAGCCAAGTTCCCTAATCCTTAGTCACAAAGGCCCAAAATGACTGCAGAACAACTCTGCAACCAGTGCTGAATATTCAGGATACTGTACAGCTAACTGAAATTTTTGCCATACTTATATCCAAAGATATTTAGTAGTCTTACTTCCTTCTTAGTGCTCAGAGTCCTATTTTATTACATGACTTAAAATGAATCTATTTTTGCAGCTTTGTCTTTCTTGGTAACAGTTTAGAGTAAAATTTCTATAGGGAAAAGTATAATGTATTTCTCTAAAAAGCCTGAAAACCTGGCACTTCTGAGATCAGATATCAGTCCTGTAATTGCAAGGGCTACTCTTATACCTCTTAACTATATTCAGTTCTATTACTTCAGTTACCTGGTACCACCCCTGCTCTGGATAATTTGTTGAAAATACTTGTAAGTAGACTTTCATTGTCATGTACAAGTACTTGCAGAATTCAGAGCTGAAAGATAATCCAGTGAGTCTGAATTTAGCGAATTCAAGTTCCTCAAATTTTGCTTTGTTTGTTATTTTCACTTTGTTAATTTACAATATTATCTTAGTAATTTTACCTTGCCTTACATACTACTTCAACTAGCATCAAACACATAGCTCAATTTTTTCTATTTCTCCCAGATTACTGGTGTCTGTAGACTTCTTGTAGGTGCCATATCTCTTAACAGCATTTGAGCACCTACAGTATTGTAAGACTTCTATTTTCAACATTGCATGATTAAAAAGAAAGCTTGAGAAATAAGCATAATCACGATCACATAATAGTCGTATCTTCATTCATTTTTGAGTTGGGAATATTCTGTTAACTGAATTGCACCTCCTTGGGTATCCCATCAAAACTGTTGGGATTTCTATTACAATCATCACTGTTTAGAGGGGAAGATCAACAAGGAAAAAGCATCCAGTACTGAGTATTTTCATCTCCACTAATCACAGTGAAAGTTTTGCCTGTGGAGATGTTATAGATTTCTATTCCCCAATGGCCTATATTTCAGCTTATTCAGACACCGTGTGTAAATATGAATTTAGACCAAACTCAGTCTCCTCTGAGCTGGAAATTTGTCTTTTCAGGGTTTGGTCACTTCTTTTTATATTAAGATGGACAGAGATTCCTAAACATTTGTGTATATATATATGTATAAAATGGCTAGAAAATGCAGTAGAAGTTTCAAAGTAGGAGACATCAGGAGAGATCATGACTGGCTGGATCAAAAGCATTTATCTCAGTGCTATCACTACAAACCTTTGATAACTAATCAGAAAAGCCATTTTTAAATTCAGTTAGACAAGCCAACCTCAAAAGACCAGACTGCCTTTGATGTGAAGTATTATGGCTTGTGAAAACAGTTGAATCATGGCTTTGCTACATTTCTTAACGAGGTTTTGCCTTTCAAAATTCTTTCACTATGAATATCAAACACCATATCCAGTCTTTTGCTTTGGCCCCTTTTTACCCTTTTCTACCCTTTTAGTGTGCCTGAAAGAGCAACAGAGAATTACTCTGGCACAAAGAATATCTGCCCAGTGGAAGTGAGGGGAAGATAATTTTCATCAGTGCTGGACTTCTGTATTGCTCAATCAGTCCATACCTGATCTAGGAATCAGACTATAAGAGAGGAAAGATATCTATCCATGCTGCCTTGGTTATGCCAATGAACTGGCAAAAATTGAAAAAACAATTTTCTGAATGGAAAGCATTAATGAAGGCTTATTTTTGTGTGTAAATTTGGAATGGTATTTCATGTATTTGGTGCAGTAATGCAGTAGTGCAGTAAATTAAAAATACACACAGTTTGACCAAAAAAAAAAAAAGTGAAGGAAAAAAAAGTCATAGAGTAAGTGCCTGCAATTAAAGAAATAGTAACTACTGATAGAAAATATTGAGAGAAAAACACACTTTGCATGGATAATATCATTACGGCAAAGTTCTTCTTCCTACACTAGAAAGTATAGTTTCCTAATAGAAAGAACCTGTTTCGAGTAAATTTAATTCTAATCAAATTTATATGGGTACATTATCTCTGCAAGACCAGTGATTGAATGTAGATTCCACCAGTTAAAAATGTTCTTGACTGTATCAGGCTATAAAATAATTAAGACAAAATAGTCTTTGTAAATTAATCATTTACTACAGCATGAGTTTATGGCCCTTTATTTGCTTATTTATTAAAAAAAAATACAGTGAATCTGTCCTAAATAAGAAATTATTATTGAATTCACAGAATTACTTTCTGCTAGACTGAGCTAATGTGTTTATTATATTCATCTTCTTTGTGAGTTTAATAATTTTAGACCATATAGCTGTTCCATTTTGTTTTGTCTCAGTATCCATTTATTGCACAACTTTGACTAAAATATTAAAAAAATATCTACACCTTTTTGTAGTTTCTACAGTTAAGGAAGAATATTTTCAACATGTGTCCCTTTTTCCCTATAGCAGGAGGCAGAATAATTGCCTTTTTGAGAAAAGAGTTTGATCAAAAGCAGCAGCTAATAAACAGCACGTTTATAAAACGTCAGCAGTGTCAAAACTGTCATAAAA